CGCTGCCCTTTTCCTCCTCCCGGTGCCCGGTCCGAGGCTGCCGGGCCGCCTGGAGCCTCCGAACAGCCGACCTGCCCGCTCCCAGCCCTGCAGGACTCGCTGCGCCCCTCGCCGGGGGACCCCCCAAACCATGCGCGTGCACAGGGACGCCTGGATTCACTCACATACGCACACTCAAGTATTTATACACATGGACCCCAGCACTTCACACACGTGTGCACATGCAGACACACGAGAACACTCCTCTAGGTGCACAGGCCCTAACACCAACCCTCCCTATCAACACTCCCATGCACAGAGCCCTGCTCTGCTCCCTCAAGTGGCACACCGGCACAAGGGCACATCCACACAAGTGTGCCCAGGCATACCTCCTCACTATGCGTGCCCACATTCACACGCATGCACACTCACATAGAGTATAACACACAAGCAAACCTTCATGGGTGCCTTTCTTTCTGTACATTGGCCCTGTGCACCCAGACACACCCAGGCAGGCAGGCCCACTCCAAGGAAATGACCAATGGTCCTTCTGCACACAGAGGGCACAGTTCCCAGCTATGAACACTCCACAAATTTCCATACTGTAAAGGCCATTTCACTGAGGCTATCCAGAGACCACATAGCATTAACTGGGCTGCAACCCAGATTTCCTGCCTCCTGGCCCACCTCTTTCCCTGTCTCTCCCTCAGATGCAGGATTTTTACACATGAGGGTTTCCCAGACAGCAGTCTGGTGGCAGGGGTTCTCAAGCCTTATCTTGAAGTTGCATTTGCCCAGTGAGCTCTGTTTCTACTTAGGATTTATGTTTTGGGAGACTTGCAAATGAGGGTCATAAGGACATTGGGGGTGTGGGCAGAACCCTACCAAAACACCTCCATGCTCCACCCTGGACACAGTCAACATCATCCGTGTCAGGACCGAGCTTTTGGATGTAACCCAAAGCAAGGAGCAAAGCACCACCCAATTCTGGTGCTGCCCTCCCAGGTCTACAGCTGAGTGGGGGAGCTGGAGAAAGCCTTACAAGCTCCCCACCCCTCTTGCCTCCCATGCTGGCTCCACTGAGTCCCTAAGCTAGAATCAGGGCATCTTAAAGAAGAATGGGCCTGAGAGGACAGAGGAGCGGAGTTTGGGACACACTGGGTGGGTAGGGCCTGGCAGCTGGAAACAGGGAGGCCCAGGCAAGATAGATGGTGGCCTCTCAGCTGGAGAAGAGGCTTCAAGCCATGTTGAGCAAGGCAGGTAAGGGCTGAGAGCTGGGGAGCAGAGGGGGCTACTGGAGGTGCAGGGAGCCTGGGAGGGAGCCAGCACAGGGGAGGCCAGGCTGGGCTCAGGGCTGAGCGGTAATTAAAGGAGACGTAGGGGGCTCCCCAGGGCCAGCGGGGCTGGTAACTGACACGCGGGCCCCATTGCTCCGCTCATATTTCTCACCGGATCGATACGTTTGACTCCCGACAAGACAATAATCGCTTGTACGCGGCCGGCGAGTCGATCAAATACATTATTAGAGCGAGGTCCCCTGGGGGCCCGGCGGGGAGTTGGGGGGAGAGCAGCCAGCCCACCGGGGACAGCAGAGCAGGATTCTTCACCCCTCAGGGCCCCCAGCCATGCCCTCTTCCTCTCGGCCGCCCCTGGGGACCCTCTCTGTGGCTTGGTTCCCCAGCCTCTTTCTGCATCCCGCTGTGTCTGGCAAACTCTCCACTCAGCCTCCGGTGGTGTCCCCGCTCTGTGTGGGAACCCAAGCAGTGTTTCCCCAAAGCAGTGCCTCATCTGTAGGGCTGTAACATGTGGGAGCTTGGAGAGGACCCTCAGACCCCCAGGTTGGCAAGAGATAGGGAGACTGGGCCGCAGGCCACACTGTGGGTCAATGGTTGGGCCAGGAGGTGACCTTGGGCCTAAGATTCATTGACACTAACCTCCCTCTGCATCTCATCACTTTGGCCTTCACAGAACCTAGGCCAGGGCAGCCTCTGGTAGGTAGGGGTGGGAGTTCAGGAAAAGCTGGCTTAGGGACCCCAACATGTAGGAAAGCAGGATGAAGGGTGGCAGACAGATACACAGACAAAGGGATGTCTGGCTGGTCCTGCTGCAGGTCCATGCAATTCTCCACTAGGCCTCTGATACTCTTGGAATCAAAACCTGGCCTGGCCTACCCCAGCACTGCCTGACTTAGGGGCTTGAGCCTTCATTTCCTGTTTACATACTTGTTTCATCCTCAGAACTGCTTCTCCAGTGGCCCTAAGTCTAGACGAAGCTGTAACCACCCCACGTTCTGCTTAGGAGCAGCCAGCATCCAGGAACTTAAAATATTTCTTCTCCATCATCACCATCATCATCAATAGCAGCAGCATCACTGTCTATTCTGTGCTAGTTGAGCCAATACATTATATCTAATCTTCATGACAATCTGAGGAGGTAACGTATGTTATCATCCTCATTTTACTGATGATTTGGAGCTCAGAGAGGTGAAGTCACTTGCCCCACATCACACAGCATGTGAGCGGTGGAGTCATGATTCAAACTCAGACTTGTCCTCCCCACAGCTTGCTCTTTCTCTACTCTGCTATAGGCCTCCTTAGAGCTTTGACTGCTCCCCATCCTCCAGTAGACAGCAGGCAACCACTCCCTGCTCACTCAGGAACACTGGAATCTCCTCACAGCCCACAGCCTGACTCCCATGGTCCTTAGAGCTTGTTCTTTATACTCAGTAATGTGTTAGACTCTTGACCCATCAGTTCCTGGCTGAAGGTGAGCCAACCCTTCCCCATTTCCTTCAATTTAAACATTTCCTACGTGTCCCTTAGTGCCAAGCCATGGGCTGGGGGCTGAGGACTTAGGGCCAGCTGGATCTGAAACCTGCCCTCAGGGGGCTCACAAGCTGAGGGGAAGATGAGTTGGTGAAAATATCCTGATACTCCTTCACTGACTCAGTAAACGCTAGTCAAGGATGAGGCCCAGACATAGAAGGTCATTTCCTGCCATAGAAAGGTTGGGAGGGTTCAAGCCAGGATGAGAAAGGTCCAGACAGGGTGCCATATATCCAAATTGAGGCTGGATCTGACGTTGTAGGTGGAAGTCTTTTGAGCAGGAAGAGTCTGTGTAGGGGAGATCCACTGGGGACTGGTGTGAGGACAGGCGGGTGGATAGAAGCTGGAGGCAGGATGACCAGATGGGAGGCTGGGACAGTTGTCCAGACAACAGATAATGAGGCCATGAAGTTGCAGATGAGGGTACAAATTTAAGTGAGAGTCTACAGGACTTGAATGGGCTTGCAAGTGAGCAGCTGGGTGGGGTGGCTGAGTGGAAGCTGAGGCCACCACTGATGAACAGTGGGAAGAGGAGCAGACTGAGGGAAGATGCTCAGGTCAGTGACGGGGAAGACCAGCAAGAGGCATCTTGGAAGCAGCCAAGTTTATGGACCAGGAAGCCAGCAGATGCTTAATAAATTCACATTGACACAAAAACTCCTCGCATTCTTCCCCCACACCCCACAGTTTGCCAGACCCACCAGAAATCCCCGGAATTCACCTCAAGCAAGAAGAAATCAAGATGCACTGTGAAAGACTCAAAGAAGATAATGGTTGAAAGACCAACCAGGTCTCCATTCCAAAGCTGGCCACTTGGTGACCTAGGGTCAGCCCCCTGCACTCTCTGGGCCTCAGTTTCCCCATTTAAAAGTGGGAAGTGTGGGCTAGAGGAGCACCCTAAGACTTCTTCCAGCTCTAACATTCTGTAGCTTCAAAGAAACAAGAACAGGCAAGATGGACTGACTGATGAATACACTAGAGGCCACAGTCACAAAACTAGAAGAAGGCGGACCCAGAGCCTTTCTGACCCCAACG